AGTTACTAATAACTAATAAGACATGTTTTTGTCGTTTGTGAAACTGTAGAGAAACGTCCGAAGACATTCGGGCACATGGACTTGGAGCATAAACATTAGTAAAGCCGATGAACACTACAACGAATTGCATGTTTAATGTGTCGTGTGTTAGAAAACAACGAGAAATGTCAGTGTTTCTTCGGCTGCTGTCGTCTACAACTTACTGGTGAACGATATAATATATTAGGTACAATATTCACGAATGACATTTTGATAAAAGTATTTTGTAGTTGAGACCTACAACTACCGAAATCGTGATGACAGTTGGGTTAAACTTAGCCAAAAAAGATTTTTTTTTTTTTTAATGATATATTAATTACGTCGTAGTTAGGACGCATTATATTTTATTATTTTTTAACGTTCACGGATATAATAAGTGACGCGTGTAGAATATAAAACTCGACTAGCGTATTTCAGAAAGTATAAATTCTCGTATTAGTGACGTTTATTATTATATTTTGAACAAAAACTAATAATTATAAATTCATTTTCGGACTAAAGAACTTTTATATATGTGAACTGTGCGGAAACGGTCGACGGTAACGACTAACGAGACGACACGTGGCAACAGTCGCTCGACTGGTGCAATGACTCTCGTCTAACATTCAACTAATTGCATTTTCAGTTATTGGTGAAAACGCGAAAATGGGATGCAAATCCATCTATCAAAACTGCGTCGGTAAACTTCACCAGGCGCATCAATGGAAAGCCAATAGGAAGCTGGCCAGCCAATATTTTAACATATTTAATATTATTATGCCATTGTACCGTTACTCCGGATCGGTAGTCGGTGTATATGTTCTATACAGAGTGATTCATCAAGCATGTTTGCCACTTTTCTGTTCTTCAATAATTTAGATATTTAAATATACCTATTTAAAGACCTTGTTGTCAAATTCTTGAGATATTTTGTACTACTTAAGGAAACACTTAAAATAAAATATAAGGATCCCCTTTTTAGTGTAATTTATTAAGTGAACAATTTTTTCGAAATTCTAATGAGTAGTTTTTCAGATATTAAAATATATATTATATACTAATAGCTGGATCATAGTCCTTAAAGATGGTTTTACAAAAATATAAAATAGAGGCGTAACAGGTGGATCTAGTATTTATTATAGGACCATTTTGATAAATCAGTGTTTAAGTAATCACTACAATTATTAAATCACCATATTATCTCCCCCTGTCCAATCTTCCGAATCCATTATCACCTATAACATTATGCTTGGATCACAGATAGTAAAAAAAAACTGCAAAAACTGCACTGTCGGTGAATCACCCTGTATATCAATGTAGTATAATAATATGGCCGATATGTATTATATATTATTATTAGGCTATAGGCCGTTTGTCCGCAATGACAAAACAATATTCGATTACCTGTTTGATTTCCCCTACCCCACCACCGGTGTAACTATAGTGATGTGTAGCAGCAAAACTGCTTATGCCGGAATCAGGTTAACCGTCCGGGTTTTTTTTTTTTTTTTTTGCCAACACGTCGGTGAAATTTGAATCGTTGTTTGAGTCCCCAAGAGATTTTGCAATAGCTATAATACTGCAGGTGCCTACCTACACCGCGGGTAATACACGAACATTTGTCACGATCGGTTTCCAAAACGCATAATAATATTCGAGACGGCCGGAACGACGATCGGGCTGCTGATAATATTATACTCGCGCCCGACCTATTTGTCTGCGGCGGTGATGAATTAATGCATATTATCGTGTTCGGCTGCTGTAAACTGATGCAAATCTACTGGATTTTACCGAATTCAGTTGTATGTTGTGCGCTGCAGTATATTATACATAGGTACCGGTTTCACTTTTCACACGTGCTCCTCGTTTTTGTGGCCGACCATTTGCACACAATCGATTCGGAAGAAGACCGCTGCGAAACCGTCGCGATTGTGCCGCCGCAGTTTTTATCCTCTTTCATTCTTTTTTTCCCCCCGCACTCGCCCCGGGGCGAATCGAGTGCAACTCCGTCGTAGCAATCGTAGCCGTCTCCGAGGAAACGAAACACAGTATACCTGAATAATATTATTATTATTATTATTATAATCCGAAGGCTTGCTGTAGCGAAAAATATAATGATATACGTGTGTACAATTAATATTACAGTTTGCCGCTCGTGTTTTATTCGCTCAATGTTATCGACGTACGTCTACCTGGTTTAATGTTAGAACTGAAACAATTTTATCTCAGAGTAATCCGATACGGCGTGTGTATAATATTATGTACGTAAAATAATATAATAAATGTATAATAAGTAGGGTATTAATATCGCTAACTGTCCGTTTTCAATACGCGTCTCGTCTCGGCTTCTGAAACACATTGCGACGTATTATTATTATGATATTTTAAGGGCAGCGATTGGTTTCCACCAGTCTACATCACTCACTCTCCTTTCTAGAAAACCTACGCCAATATAATATAATCATAATTTAATATCGCTGTGCCTACAGAGAGACTCTCGCGGGTAACCTCTATAATATTATAATATAGTGTATTATTCTCACTAGGTGGTGTCGTTCATTTTCATTTCACTCAATCGTTATACCTCGATATTTTGATAAAATATTATAATAATAATAGGTATATCGAATTCCCAAGTATGTTATATATAATTATAATTTATAGCTGATATTCAATGTTATTGAGCATAATATATACATGATCATAATATAATTATGTCTATACGAATAATATAATTATATTAATACTGCATTATAAGAATATTATTATTACGAAATTATTAATTGCAATTAATCAAAGTTGTTTAACGAATAATAGGTAGGTACAGGGTTTAAAACGAAAAATGTAGTCGATACCGTCAAAATTGTTTACTACAGATATTAAAAACTGCAATCATACATTTTCTGAACTTAAATATAAATTCTACCAATAGTATTAATTCGTATTAACTGCTACAGTTTTGACTTGTTCTTAAATTTTTTTTCAACTTAGAGTAGGAAAGTATCTAATTCGAAGGAATATATTATGTTTTTGTTAAATTAAGCAATATAACAATAACTTATCAGCTAGTTAGGTTATATTTTTTTAGTCGTGAACTAAATAGATTACATTTGTATGGCAGTGTATGTGCCTTAAATAATACTGTAAAACCATAAATGAAATCATTAAAAAGGATTAGAAACTCAAAATATGATTAAAGTCTTATGAATTATGGGTTATATATTATAATATATATGAAATGTTAACAAGAGGAAATGAAATGTCGGAAATGTCCAATCGGTGTTATGCATTTAATTATTATTTTACAAGTTATACACTTCCACAGTTGTTTTATTTGATAGCCAAAAAATTAAAATAATTGTAATCTACACATTTTTGTTAGTAGAATGTTAAATTATGTCACTTTGGTAATATTATTCCAGAATCCAGAATAAATTATAATTTATATTTGTTTAAATTAAAATAATTAGTTTTACTATTTATTGGATATAACTTAATAATATGGACCTTACATATCCCTTATTATAAATTGTAGAATATTTATTTTGCTTTGTTTGGTTGTCAATATTATCCTTAATGACTACCTGTCTACCTACGGCTACGGTGGTAAATAATGTTAACCAAATATATTACCAAACTATTTCATAATACTATTCACTTAAATGTAATATTTTTAATATATCTTAAACAGAATCACATTCTTAATATGGTACAATATTAAATAACCGTTGCTTGTTGGTGAATAATTGTGATAAGGGAAAATAATGTTATTATTATTATTATTATTCGTAAATAATCTAATTAGAGATTCTGTGAATAAATTACAACTTTCTTTAGTAATAATTACTATGTCTCACTAGTATCTACACTAGTCATATAAATAAAGCTTATTTTAAAATATGAATTAAAGTTTAAACGAAACATATATGTATACCATCAGCTAGCATCTTCACCTCAGCTTACTCGGGACTTATTTTATAATATATTTTGTGTCTAATCTATTAAATTAACATTCATGATTTATTGAACTGCTTATTAAATAAATACATAAATCAATAATTACAAAACAATAATTAATCTGCTTTTTTACCACATAATGAAATTATTACTGTTTGCTGATCAAAAATTAAAATATCAACGACGTGCAACTGAATGACCATAATATAAAGTTCTTAAAAAACTTACAGATATTATAAATTGCACATAGAAAATAGTAATGGTAATATATTATGTTATTAATATTTATTACGCAGTTACATAACTGAATATTATTTAATTATGTCACCATCAAACATAAACATAATAAAACTATATTATTTTCCCGCCTTACATATTTTTACTTTTGAATCAATGCATAATTGTATTTAGGTAATTTATAAGTTGCAATCGTCATTTTAAATTCATATATTTATTATAAGTAGAATTTGCTACGAATATTCTTCCCCGTTGAAGTACTATTTTCTTTGTCAATTTACAACTACTAGTAGGTACCTGCCCTCGGTTTTAAACGCAAACATTTTGACTGCACTTATTATATTTTTTTGACCAAAATATAAACAACTATTTAACAAGATAGTTATATAGGTAAACACTAGGTATAGGTAGTGCATTCCATATCGTATAAATAAACTCTCGTCAATTTTTATCGCGTTTATTATTTTATTAATCACCCATATACTTATACATCATCATATACTTGATGATTAATATGTATTCTGTTATTATTTTTTGAGATTAAACTATGCATATCACCGACATATTTTAAATACCTTTTGACATGCATCCTAATACTAGAAAAGTAGAAAATAATTATTATACTTTCTATACTCGCTACTAAATTATTGTTAAATTCTAGAAATTCATACATCTGAGAACAAAGAACAAAATCTATACAATAACATAATATTATTATCGTAGTAATTTCATTCTGAAGTCATCTAAATGTTTTATTTTTATTTTTTATTACAGGAAGAAATGCAGTTATGATCTCACAAGTCATGCAAGCACTTACGATCCTGTGTGCCTTGTTTATTGCAAGCGCATCCGCTACACCATGCCCCCATCCGTGCAAATGTTTCACCACCGAGAATGGAATACAAGTAGCTAATTGTACCGACTTACCGGATCAAATGACGACCGCATGGCCACAAAAAATTCTTCGAATTCACTTCGAAACTGATCGTGCGTCAACGGTTATGTTGAAAAACAAGGCGTTCAAACACTTCCCGCGGCTTACGTATCTAGATATTACTGGAGGCACGATACACTACGTGGGAAATTTGGCGTTTGATGGGTTACCGGAACTAGTGGAACTTAATCTTGTAGGAACGGGTATTAGAAAACTACACCGAAATACATTCACGAACAACCGGAAACTGGCATTCTTGTCATTAAGTAAAAATCCTAGACTCTTTGTGGGTCCTTCATTCCTTGTGTCCGAATCTATAACCGAGCTTGACCTATCAGAATGCGGGTTGACCACACTGAAAAGTGTGTATTTCAAAAGTTTACCCAATTTAAAATACTTGTTCGCTACGAAAAACCAGCTCAAATCACTCGGTTCACAATTTGGACCTTCCGGTGTGAAGTTTGTAAACCTTGCCCACAACCAAATCGAATACATTAACGAAGACTTGGAAGCATATAAACGTTTGAGAACAATTGATCTTACCGGCAATCCAGTTAACTGCACGTGTGAACTTTCTGAAGTTGATAAGAAATTATCGTCTAGGGGCGTGGCTTTCGGAAATTCGATAACATGCAACAATACAGGAAAACCGTTGGGTGATATGTTTGAAGTATGTTCAGACAAAGAAATGATGGGAGACGACCCCATGGACATATATCAAGCAGATCATTTATTAAAAATCGAAAAAAGTGAGATGCATTCGTTTGAAGAAATTGATGATTCTGGTTCAGGTTCAGGCAGCGGTGATAGTGAACCTACGGCGATATATGTTAAAACTACAACACAAACTGAAATCGAAGACACACAAAATAACACACAAATTGACGAGGTCAAAAACAATACACAAGTCGAAGAAGCAGTATTTACCAAAACTCAAGTGGGTGATACATTTATAGTTCCTAAAATCGAAACGACTTCAGTAGAACCCACTACTACCACCGTGGAAGTTTCGTCCAAAGACAAAACGGACGACACTACTGTACTCCCGAACGAGGAAGTAATGGTTCACGTTCAACCTTCGGTCAATCCACTTGATGGGAATTCATCCACCATGCGATCCAGCATGGACCGTGGAATTGTCTCTCAGACGATACAAGCGCAAGCGCCAGAAGACGAAGACAACGTCCAGACCCAGGTAGCCGAGTTCCTAAAGTCTAATGTTTATATAGCTGGAACAGCGGCCATATTGCTAATAGTCATCGTAGCTATTGTGTACAAGGCCGTGTGTTTGGGAAAATCACGGAGTCACAGTATTGTGTCCAGCAATGATAAGTCCGTCGAGCTCAAAGATATAAAATATGAAGCAGCCAATACGGAGGACGCACGTGACGATTCGCCGGCTAGTTCAGTGGAAGAGAACCTGCTGGGAGACCACGATAGTGATGATGAAGACGACAGTAGTGGCCCCAACGAAGACGACGCATTGTCTTCGTCACCGGTAACTAATGGTCACGCTCAAAACGGTTTGTTGAACAGCGTTATGGATGCTGTGAAAAATAACGAGGCGCCCACAGTGAGGACTACACCCGGCGGCCAAGACGTTCCTACCAAAGTGATAGTGAAATTGTGTGAAACTCCAAAAGCCTCCAAGCCAATAACAATCAATAACGTCCATTAAGTACTCCACAGAACATGAAGTAGCTCCTAAATATTATTGGACGACGACGAAAAACACATATCCAAATGTAAAATTCGTAGCATAATGTATGTTTACCATTTAAATGTATTAACGGTACCCCGTGTATAATTTAAGTTTTAACAGACCATTTTAAAAAATAAACACCTAAACAACAAAAATCATACGAATCAAATATCTCTGGTGTATAATAATATGTACTAGTTGAGAAAACTACTGTTGGCTTCAACGGTTAACTTCTATCCTAGTGGTGTAATTGTTATTGTTGTACATCGATGATTCGATTTATATATTTTGTTTCTTTGCCAACTTATAGATAGTATGTCATCCCGTAAATCTTAATATCTGTTTAGTTTTATAATATTATGATTATATGTTTTTATAATCAAGCCTAATTTCCTGGTTAAAAGAACATATTATTCATATTTTTAGAGGTTCAAAACACTGTAAATGTACATTTTGCTTAAATATTTAATATTATTTTATTTATTGTTTTTCTACTATTTATTTTTTTAATGATCTGTAACTTATGTTAAATTTTAATGTAAATTGTTTTTAATGTAGGTGTATACACTACGTTTATTTGTTTATTTTTTTTTTTTTTTTGTTGTAAATAAATAATTATTATTAAATTTTACAGGTTTCCAAATTGAATTAATAATGAATAAACTATTTTTAATTATTCTAAGTACTTAAGTAATATTATATATTTTGTTTAAGAAGTTAAACGAAACTATTTGAATAAGAATTTTAACAGAATGATCGTCAACTTAATCACGGGTCTTAGAGAATACATTAGTGATTATACCGGGGTATGGAATTTGATACATTCAACCAAGTGGATTATGTGTGTCTATATTATAGGTATTGTATTATATACGCAGAAACACGCCAACATAATGGGCTGCAAGGAAAGTCCATTGTGCAATAATATTGAGCTTGTCAACCTGCATATTTGTATCAAATATACAAAACAATTTAAACAAGTACCTACCCACCTACGATCGTAACAAAACATGTTTAAAGTTCCAAGTTCAGATGGACTGATAACTCAGACATACCTACAATTAATACAAATATAGATGTATAAATAAATAGTATAATGCTCAAAATCTTATTAACTAGGTATAAGTGTCGTTCAAATTAAATAATATGTCGGCCGATGCACAGAATAACGTAGAATAAAATTTAATTTTAATTTATTATTAATTTATATTTTATTACCAACGATGGTTATAGTTTTTTTTTTAAAAACCTCCAACTAACGAATAACACCAAATTATTCCTACATAATTTACCGTTCTATTGACGTATCGGTTAAACATATCAATATTATGCATTTGAGGATTTCATGCCCGCATTACATTGTTTCTGTCTTCTATAATAGACTACTATATTAAAGGGAGGGAAAAATTGTTAATTTTTCAAAATCGAAACCATAGGTACACCTAGCTAATTATTGTTTGCTTTTACATATAACTACATATTATAAGGTAAGAACTAAGAGTGTAGACTTAAAACTCATTTTACGAGGATAGGTTTACCTATACCCTTATTGTTAAATAATAATAATAAGTAAAACATAATAATTCATAAATAATAGGACCTGGTGCTACAACTTTTTTGTAAAAAATATATAATGTGACAATAATCCTGTAATTTGCATGAAATGAATTGAGTTAATTTTGGTTAACCAGATGATTCGATAACGTTGACAGTACCTACGTCAACATTATATATTATATAAAAGGAGAAATGTGAAATAATTAATGTTGTTATTTGAAATAGTTTGAGGGAAGAATATGTTTTTCTTATGCATGTTAAATAATAAATGTGTGGCATTCATTCTTTAATGTAGAAGACATTTAGAATTTCTACAACTTACTGTTGGCATATTTGGGGGTTGCAAAATTACATCTTTGCCCCAGCTAAATTTAAGGGTAGCAAGTTCTACCCATTTCCCTAAAAATTACGCCAGTGAGTGCTGGCTTGAAATAATATACCTATTAATGTGAATAAATATTGACCTATATAATGAAAGTTAAAGGTCAGAATATTATCTGACCTATTATCTGGGTAATCTCGTTGGTTTTTCTTATGTTTTAAGTTTTCACGGAGTTATGGCCAGACGAATTATATTGTTTATTATATAATATTATTTTAAATTTACGAATTATATTATTTCGAAATGCTCACGACTCGATCAAAAATGTACAATGATATGCCTTAAAGAAAACCAATTCGCTGAGAACGCAGATAATGTTTTTTTATGATTGATAATGATAAATAATGATTATAATCAATGTCGGCGTGAATTTTTTTTTGGTATGAAGCGACTACCTTATTTAATAAGAACCCACACGGCACACACCAATTTTTTCACATTTGAGACTTATATTTTCACACAATTTAAACGTAGGTTGTATGTGACTATGCGAATATAAATTATAAAATAGTTTTGCCGTCTAGGTCTTGGAGAATGGATATCCACCCCCATTTTTGCACGAGGCGGCTGCCTCATAAAATATTCACACCGCCACTGAATTTATAATTAAGTCCATTCCCTCAAATTATAATAAAAGCCAACAGTCGACAACATAAAATCGGATCTGCTGAACGAAAATTTGCCAAGTTCGTTTGTAAGACGGAGACAAACACACACCTACGTAATCGTAATGTGATATATGTAACGTACCTAATCTTAATTATTCACACGTTTGGTTGGTTATCATAACGGTATTATAACGTTATCTATATAATTCATATTCGCGCTTTTGATTTACTTGGAACTAATAAAAATGATAAAAAAAGCGTACCTATATAATATTAATGTAGAACTTTTGCACACGAACAAGTACCTATATTGTTCAATAATACAATTATAATATTGCAAACTGCAAACATATACAGTTTATCACGACCACTGTGTGTGCGTGTATTATAATTTATTGTACCTGTATCTTATAAATTTTAATGTTCGTCATTTAAGTGCAATAATATAATTGCATTATAGATAAAATCGAATAAGATACGACTAAAAAATAATTTTAATTATATTAATTGTTGATACACATATACACGTTAAGTAAACTCGGTTCGTGTGTAATACGGATCAATAAAAATACAAATAATTGCAGAGACTACTTAACTATCATCTGTTTTACTAAGTGACTAGGTAAGTGTATGGTTTTTGCTTGGGCGATTGCAGGGTCGTCGACCGGTAAGTACAAAGTTCGAAAGCTAAATTATTTCTGCAATGGTGGTTTTGAAGTTTAATAATAATTAATAACATCGCGTTATCATTTATTAAAAGCATGCTGTTTTACAGCCAACCAATTTCAAACAACACCTTGTTTTAAATGAAACGGTATTATAACTTTTAAGTAAACCCGAAGTTATGTGAAAAATAACGTTTAATAATTAAATAATATGATGCATTTAATATTATTTATGCATCAAAGTAGTATAATATTATATTGCGAAAGATATGAACAAATAAATAATATTTATTGTACGTAATAGGTATATATTACCATAAGAGGTGACTATGTTTATGCATTAAAATACTTGGAAAATGGTAAAATGTTTTTAATTTTGAATATGTACAATTTGTAAGGGGTTTTTAATTTATTATGAAACAATATTGAAATGGCATTCATAGCAATAATTACAAATTTGGCACTCTACAAAATATATTAATATGATTATAAATATTTGGCCGATCGAATGTTCTCGATTATCTTTGGTCCAAAATTACAAGCATAATAACCCGACAATCTGTAATATAGATAATAAATTATATAAAAATGATAATAGAAAATCGGAAAATATTAAGTAGAACATTATTAAAAATACTTTGAGCAAAATTTAAATCATTTTATCTAACGCAATATTTATATTTTACAATTATCTACATATATCCAACAAATAATATAATATGAGTTAACTCAACAAATATATAAAATTACGAAACGTTCACATATTCAATCAGAAACATTCAGAGTATAAAATATGCTCGGAAATCTGGGCCCTAATAATTATATGTACCTACCTATATTCAAAACGTTTTCAAAAAACCATTAGGTATGGTCAATGCAGACAGTCGATGGCGACGAGTCTAAGGTTTAATCGTCGTACACTATTGTGCGGATTGTAATAAAATTCTCTTGAATCGATTTATGTGTCGATGGACGAATTTATTGGTTTTTAAGTGTTTGAAAATCACCGCCGCTTAATGCGAATTTCTGTGTCGTTACAAATCGCGTCGACCTATAGCTGTCTTTAATCATCAATAAATTAATATTTTTCTCAGTGGCGACCGGCAGAGATAGGCAGACCTATTTATTGGTAGCAACGTGGAATTAATGTTTAAGACTCGATATGTGTTTTCCTATTATTTTTAAATATTATACAAAATCCTTATATTATGTTTCCACGATGGTATATAATTTAGGCCTCTGGCAATACATTGTGCCAATTATTTAGGATTTAGAAAATCCAGGTTTTCTGCTATTATTATACAAAAACATCAAACTAATAAAAATTGTACACACTTACATATAATACGTACCTAACTAAAATAATGTAATTTTTAAAATTGTTAATTTATTAATAAAATTACTGTAAACACAATTTGTTATTGTAAAACTCATTAAATCCTAATGGTCAAGGGCAGTAATAATAAAAAACAAATGGGTAACTTTTCTGCTGTACAGTAGGTACATAAAATATATAAGTTAAAATATTAAGTCCCCACAAATATTGTTAAATAGTAAAATAATAACCAAAATCGTTATTTTTTGTTTGAATTTGTCAAAATTTGAACACCATGTGTACAATAATGTGTATTTATGTATAATGCTTTATTTCGTTAAGATTTTTGGGTTTTAGTAAGAACTACTTATGAGGAGGTTCCGTGTATGGTTTATCAAATATTCAAGCCTTATATTATATAAAATTGAAAATTGTATGAATTTTTAACT